ACTGGTTCCTTAATGCCAGGCTGTAGGCCATCTATGTTGGAATCACTTTGAAACAATATACAGACTTCTAGGTTGCACCTGAATCCCATTTCATAAAAGCTGTAGGGAAGGGGGTGTGTTACTTTTCTGATATACAGTTGATTTGGAGACTGATGATCAATATTTGTAGGTAGAATGATGATTGCTATGGGAATTCAAACCTCAAGCCTCAGACTTCATATCAACAATGATGCTTTTATTGTGAATTAATTAGCCTATTTATCTTATATTTTTAAAATTGAAGTATAGTTGACAATATTATATTAGTTTCCGGTGTACAACATACTTATTCGACATTTATAGACATTATGAAATGCATCACCATGGTAAGTATAGTTACCATCTGTCACCATATAAAATTATTGTGGTAGTATTGACCATACCCCCTATGCTGTATCTTACATCCCTGTGACTTACTTATTTTATAACTAGGAGTTTATAACTTTCAATTCCCTTCACTTATTTATATCATTCCTCCCCCACCCCATGACAACCACCAGCTCTCTTTATTTATGAATCTCTTTCTGTTTGTTTCTTTTTTTTTTCTAGATTCCACATGTAAGTGAAATTATATGGTGTTTGTCTTTCTCTGTCTGACTTATTTCTATTACAACAATACCCTCTAGGTCCATCTATGTGGTCACAGATAGCTAGATTTCATTCTTTTTTATGGCTGAGTATTATTCCTGTGTGTGTGTATCACATCTTCCTTATCCATTTATCTATTGATAGATACTTAGATTGCTTCTGCATCTTTGGCATTGTAAATAATGCTGCAATAAACGTAGTGGTGCATTTATCTTTTTGAGTTAATATTTTTTGAGTTAATATTTTTGTTTTTTTGGGAAAATATCCAGAAGTAGAATTACTAGTTTGTGTGGTATTTCTTTTTTTAATTTTTTGAGAAACCTCCATACCATTTTCCGTTGAGACTGAACCAATTTACATTCCCACCAACAGTGCACAGTGGTTCTCTTTTCTCCACATCCTCACAAACAATTGTTATTTCTTGTCTTTTTGATTAGCCATTCTGACAGATGTGAGGGTGATATCTCTTTTCAGTTTTGATTTGCATTTCCCTGATGATTCGTGATATTGAGCATCTTTTCATACATCTGTTGTCCCTCTCTGTGTCTTCTTTGGAAAAATGTCTGTTCATATCCTCTGCCCATTTTTAATTGGATTATTTAGTTTTTTGGTGTTGAGCTGTATAAGTTCTTTATATATTTTGGATATTTTCCCCTTATCAGATATATCATTTGCAAAAATCTTCTTCTATTCACTAGGTTGCTTTTTTGTTTTGTTGATGGTTTCCTTTGCTGTGAAAAAGCTTTTTAGTTTGATATAGTCCCAGTAGTTTATTTTTGCTTTTGTTGCCTTTGCCTAAGGAGACAGATCCAAAAAAATATTGCTAAGACTCATGTCCAAGAGTTTACTGTGTATTTTTTCTTTTAGGACTTTTATGATTTCAGGTCTCACATTTAGGTTTTTAATCAGTTTTAAGTTTATTTTTGTATATGATGTAAGAAAGTGACCTAGTTTCATTCTTTTGCATGTAGCTGTCCAGTTTTCCCAGCACCATTTGTTGAAAAGACTGTCTTTCCCCCATTGCGTATTATTGCCTCCATTGTCACAGATTAATTGACCATATAAGTATGGATTTATTTCTGAGCTTTCTGTTCTGTTCTATTGATCTATGTATCTGTTTCTGTCCTCGTATCATATTGTTTTGATGAGTATATCTTGAATTTTGGAATTGTGATACCTCCAGCTTTGTTCTTCTTCCTCAACAATGCTTTGGCTATTTGGAGTCTTTTGTGATTCCATATAAATTTTAGGATTATTTGTTCTAGTTCTGTGTAAAATACTATTGGCATTTTGATAGGGATCACATTGAATCTGTAGATTTCTTTGGTTAGTACATAACATTTTAACTATATTTATTTTTCCAATTAATGAGCATAGTGTATTTTCCCATTTATTTGTGTCATCTTTAGTTTCTTTCAAAAATATTTTATAGTTTTCAGAGTTCAGGTCTTTCACCTTCTTGGTTAAACTTATTCCTAGGTATTTTATTCTTTTTGATGTAATTGTAAATGGGATTATTTTATTTTATTCTTTTTGCTGCAATTGTAAGTAGAATTATTTTCTTAATTCTCTTTCTGCTAGTTTGTTATTAGTGTATAGAAATGCAATGGATTTCTGTATATTAATTTTGTACCCTGCAATTTTACTGAATTAATTTATTGGTTCTAATAGTTTTTTGATGGTCTTGAGGGTTTTCTGTATATAGTATCATGTCATCTGCAAAGGATGACAGTTTTACTTCTTCCTTACCAATTTGGATGCCTTTTTTTTTTTCCTTGTCTGATTACTGTGGGTAGGATTCCTAGTATTATGTTGAATAAAAGTGGCAAGAGTGGGCATCCTTGTCTTGTCTTTGATCTTAGAGGAAAATCTTCCAGCTTTTCACCAACAACGAAGATTTTAGTTTACAGTTGCTGAAGGAAAATGGCAGATAGTCATTGTGAGGGTTGAAACATTTAAAAAATTTTTCTCTTTCAAAGTTGATATTTCTCTCAAGCTATTTCACAATGACCTGGAGGCCAAATAATCCTCATCTATCACTAAGTAAGAACCCCACTAAAATTTTTGTGTTACTTCTCTACTTGTATCACAATCACATTCCTTGAAAACATTAATGTACAATTTAAAGATAGAGAAAGTGTAATAAGAAGTTCATGTAATAGGTTCTCTGTGGGGAAAAAACCTAGTATACCAGTTCTAGATGAAAATGGTGAAAATTTATAATAAAATATAATAATATAATTTATAATAATAATTATATATATTATATATAATAGTAACATTATTATTATTATAGCCAACACACTAACACATCATGTTAGCTATGTGCAGGTCCTATTCTAAGATCTCAACCTTTAATAACAGTACTGTTTATGAAGTTGTCTTATATTCCTTCATTCATTCAACAGATATTTGTGGAATACAACATGTCAGGCATAAAACAGTGATCCATTTATCACCTTTATGAAGCTACTATTATGTCTTTTCTAATGTCAAAGATTTTTTTTAGAATTTTGCTCACAGTAATCAGCAGAAGATTTAAATCTCCTACTAAGATTTGTGATGCTATGAACACTGGCATTTTATTTTATTATTTTATTTTATTTTTAAAGATTTTATTTATTTATTTGAGAGAGAGACAATGAAAGAGAGAGCACGAGAGGGGGGAGGGTCAGAGGGAGAAGCAGACTCCCTGCCGAGCAGGGAGCCCGATGCAGGACTCGATCCCGGGACTCCAGGATGATGACCTGAGCCGAAGGCAGTCGCTTAACCAACTGAGCCACCCAGGTGCCCCAAGCACTGGCATTTTAAATTTCATATCAGAAATTGTTCTCTGTTTATTCTAAAAAAAAAAAAATCAAAGGTTCTTGACATTATTGATCTGCTTATGGGAACACAGCTCAAAAGAATAATACCAATCACTTGATCCGTGCAATTCTCATGTAGGCAATACTTACATTTATTTGCCAAGTTTTCACTTATTTACTGTGCTTCTGCTTCTTGGCTTTATGGGATATCTGGTATCTTTTCACACTTTTGTCTTCTTCCTCCGTGAATGGGAATTCCTACTCCTTCTTTCTCTGAAATTAGCAAATAGTTGAAAGGGTGAAACACGGTGATCTCCAAAACAAAGGGCCTGCATGCTACCCTTTCCACAATGTTTGGCCCCTAGAATGTGAATCTCTGAAAATGTCCTTTCTGCATGAAATATAGTTCTCATGTGGTTTGAGGTTCAGACAGAGGAAACATGGATTATCTGTCTACATGTTAGGTATGTAATGATTGTAGGTTGAGATGTCACGATGCAGAGCACTGCATTACTGTAAATATGCAAAGTCAAATCCAGAATTTTCATACCTTCAATTTCTTTTTTTTTTTTTTTAAAGATTTTATTTATTTATTCATGAGAGACAGAGAGAGAGAGAGAGAAGCAGAGGGAGAAGCAGGCCCCCAAGGAGCAGGGAGCCCGATGCGGGACCCGATCCCAGGACCCTGGGATCATGACCTGAGCCGAAGGCAGACGCTTAACCGTCTGAGCCACCCAGGCACCCCTCATACCTTCAATTTCTACTAAAAACATGAATGCATTTATTTTTGAGATTCTGTCCTAAGATTGTGTTGACCACTTCATTTTAAAGTAGTAAAAAAGCAGCTAATTAAGTTATTTGCAAGGTTAATGTATCAACTCGTTATCCAAAATTTGCTTGATTTAGAATTTGTATATATTTCATATTAATATGTAAATTAAATATAGTCTGATTCCATTATTTTTAGCATGGTATATTTTATAGACATTCAGATTTATTTGAGGATAATAATTTTAAACATTTATGCTTATAACAACTCAAAAGAAAATTAAAATTGGTAAAACATCTTTTGTTTTCAGAGATACAAGTTTTAGTTCATTATCTAAGTGTGTATTACTTTGCTTAACGTTAATATTTGCAAACATCCTTGTATTGGATATGGTATATATTATATGTAATTATTAATAAAAACACCCATCTGCCATTATTAAGTGCCTACTAGGAGATTGGTTCTGTACTCTGTGTTTCATGCACTCTCTTGTTTAATCCTCATGTGAGATTTAGGTCAGTATTATCCTCATTGTACAGGTGAGAAAACCAAAACTTTGGGAGATTAAGTAACTTGCCCACCGCTGTGAGTGACCGAAAGAACTGGGATTTTAGTTCAAGGCTTCCTGGTTTCATGTTTCATAAACATGTCACAATACAAAAAAAAAAAAACTATAACCTTCCTCAAAATGTTGATTTGAACCGATTAACGGTAGCTTACATCTTTCCTTACCTGAGCAATAAACCACTTTGTGCTACTTAATTCTCAGGCTGGGGGTGCATTCTCTGTTCTCACAGGGTTGAATGTAACAACTGTGAGACTGGAGAACAGTGTGGGGCAATTATGCATGGCAATGCTGTCACCTTCTGTGAGCCATATGGTCCGAGAGAATTGGTAAGTACATGCTATTTATGTACATTATTCCAAATACACTGTCTTTATGGAGCGTTTTGCCAACAAAAGATTCTTTTATGCTCTTATAAGTCATATGAAAATTTGCAGCATTGTTTATATTATGAATCCTATTACAAACATCTCAAAATGGGGAACAGTGGTTTTATAGTTTATTTTCAAAAGTAAAAATAAAAAATTCAGTAATACGATGGGCAGCATCAATGGATACACATGGTGCATCATTATGATTAGATGGCTTTTTAAAAATATGGGTATGACATACATGTAACAGAGATGACACACATATATATGTATATCATATTTAAATAATTTATGGCTTTCTAAATTCTTGTATAAAGCTTTACTTTTAACTGTCTTATATTCTCTTTGCAAGCCGAAAATGTTAGACAAGCAACTTTATCACATTATTTTAAAACTTTGTGTCCCAACCACAGAGGAAGTTTACTGAATTTTTTTTAAGAAGTGAAAGTGCACTGAATAAACTAGTTTTGAACAAATTCTGGTTTATGCCAAATTGTTTAGGAGTAGGTTACTTTCCTTTAATTTAGACTGATTAGACTTTGCCTGCCAAAGAGAAGTTCTTGGATCATATGTAAAATGAAACATGAGCATTCTAAATTAAAAGCAATGAAACCACTAGCCATCGGCATGCAGCTAATGAGCCTTTTGTTGTTACTTGGTTCTGGCAGAAAGATTACATTTCACATTCTTGAAAAAGGATATAAAAGCAATATTTTATATTATACTCCTGGCTCAATTTGTTTGCGAGAAGTGTTCTACTCATAGCGTCTCTTATAACGCTTTGCTTTTCTGATTTTCAGCTCGAGCTATAGCGCTTCTAACAGGTTGTATTTTTCACCCCTACAAAACACATCATGTTTCAAATTCATTAACTTTAAAAGTGGCCAGAAGACAGGCTTCCACAATACAAAGGGGAGAAAAACTAGCTAGGCAATTAGAAGAAGATTTAGTTATCAAAGTGAGAGTAAATTAATTTTTATAACATGGTTCTTATTTTATGCTGCTTGAATACTCCTTTCATGGCAATGGATACATTTAATTTATTAAAGATAGGAGCTGCAGAACATTGATAAATTGAAGAATTTTTAGCTGAAATTAGAACACAAACAGAATTAATTGGATGCAAATTAAAATAATAGGTGCTCATAATTCAAGTCACACAAGGTGTTATAATATTCCTGCAGACAAATGTGACTCTGGTAGTGAAGTTCTTCTTGAAAAATAGATTTGCTAGTGCATTTTAAATAATGTACCATGACTGAATTAATTAGCTGTAAAACTTTAAACAAAATAAAATTTTACTATAGTTAATTGAGCTTAGAATAAATGCCTTTTTTAGAATGTTCTCCCATTTGATAATATTTCTGGAGATGCTTGGCAAGTTCTTTTTTGTTTCTACTGATAAATAAGAAATAAACATCTCTAAGAATATAATGCCAGAATTCTTATTTCTACAGTTTCTAAACTAAAAACTGAGTATCTAGTTTATTTGACCCATGTAAATTTTAATCCTGATTGTTTTCACTATTCCTCAGTTTATTGAGCATTAGAGTTTATGTACCCAATGGGCTAGTTTTGAATTGTATTATATAATTAATGTGAGATTAGCCTTTCAAGTAAAAAAGAAAATACTTGAAATAATTTTCTTCTTCCAAGGAAGAAAAAAAAAAAGACATATGTAGATTTATATTCCCATCATAAGTACGAAGGATTGTGTTGTGGACTCCAAGGGAATAGAGTGAAGATACATTAATAAAGACAGGGATGACATCCACATTTTACACACTAGCAACTTCTAATTTTCAACAATTTTTATACTGTGTTGGTGTCCCAGGAGCAAAAATATATATTGTACCCAAGTTGTGTTTACAGAAGACAGATCAACCAAATGAAAAGGAAGGAATTCAGTTGTCAGTTAACGTGCTATTATGTTCACTAAAATTCAAATATTTGCTTGGTGCTCAAGACTGAATACAGTCAAAACTGTTGTGCGTGAGAACTGATGAAAGGTATCGGCCCCCCAGAATCCCTTTTTAACAAATTTGCCTTCTTTTTCATAAATTACTGAAGTTGTGAAACAAAGGATCACAGGCAAAGAACTTTAGTAGGCTAATTCGATATCTTCTATGATGCCAGCAAGAGCATCTCCATTTTGTGAATTCAGTCATGTGGCATTTTATTTCAATAAAAGCCAGAGTCAGTGAGAGGTGGCACCTGCTGTCACATGAGAACACCAGGCATTTATGTCCCCACTGCTGCTGTGGTTGCAGCCCTCACACATTTTATTTAACTCCGTGAGGTCTCCATATTCGGGTGGTGACATCCCAACTTTATTCATTCTGCTGGTCCAAAGTGAAGGACATGAGGAATTCACTTACCCACTCCTTTAAGAGAAAATGTGCTCTCTCAGAGCATGAAACAGGTGGGTTATGTGACCCCCTGTTTTTTTTTTAAAGAAATTATTTATTGAATTATTTTCATATATTTGGAAATGCATTTTAGTTGCAGGGAGGAGTTTGGGCTAAAACAGCATCATACCGCCAAAAAATTTGCAGGGAAGATGTGCAGAATAAACAGCCTCAGCCAGTAGCAAATTCATATTCATTTTGTGGTCCTACTAATTTTCTGTGATTTAGGGTCTATTTGATAACTTAAGACCACTGAGATTTGGTAGGAGAAAAGTTCTGTCAGACTTCATAATTGCTGTATGGTTTATCAAAAGCCATGTAAGAGACCCTTTTCATTTTCAGAATGTCAGATGTAAAGACTTAATAACTTTGCAAACTAAAATTACATATGTGAACCCAAGGATAAGAAAGAATTTATAACCCCCAAATGTAAACATAGGTGAACAGATTTGATAGGCAATGCTTCCTGTTACTTTTTTCTCTTCATCTTTCCTATTCCTTGTAGCTGACACTTTTACTAATGAGCTAAATGGGTAAAGGTAGAGAAATGGGAGTTAGCCATTCTGTCAGTCCTTAGCTTCCCTGGTGGAGAAAAAAAAATGTAGAATCAATGACTAATCTAGGTCCAGGGTCACTCACTCTCCGTTAGCACATGTAATTTGAAATTTGGCAGTATTCCAAGCAACTTACTGTTTGCTAGCCACGGTCACGTCTGTGGAACTTCATTATGCAGGCGACACAGTGTCCTTTATGACACCAACAGGGTAAGTATCTCAGACTCTCTCGGATATTTCATGCACCAGCCTTAGCAATAACCATGGTGCTTTTAGCTTACATAGGATACCATTGTTTCAAAGAACTTATATTCAGGAGTGTTTCATGATTCACCTGGGAATCTACTCAGTTATATAAAATCAGAGGTGGAAAGAGCATTCATTCAATTTATGTGAAAACTTTAAAAATTTTCATGTGACTTTTTGGACTGTAAGATTAAATTATCTTTAGGGGACAAACAGTTGAACTTACTCTAAAAATTGTGTGTGTGTGGAGGGGGGAGGGAACAGATTCCTTTTAAAGGAATCTTGAAAAGGAGCTGGTATCCTAGTTATTTAAAGAAAATTCTGTTGGTGCATTTTTCTTTAATGACTCTAGTTGAGGGGAAGAGAGCAGGAAATAGAGCTCTGGGCGTGATGGGCCAGTTTTCTTTTAGTAGATAATCTGTGATAATGAGGGATTTAAATTAAACAGAGAGAATTTGCTCTGACACCCTGACATCAGTGATTTTTGCTACCGTTAAAATCAGTTAGGAGCTGATATCTATACTGATAATCTAATAATTTATAAAATGTCTCTCTGGCCCTCCCCTCTTTTACCTTTCCTGCTTCCTCATGGACTTCAGAGTCACATATTTAAAGCATACATTCAGTCATCTTTCCAATTTGTGTTGTAGAAATGGGAAGCATACATCTGATCTTTGGATACTCACATCTCAGCTGAATTCTGGCAAAACAAGAAGCTTGCTCACTCATTTCCCCACTAGTTCCCACAGTGATTCATAAACTGGGTATCTCCTGACCCTTCCGCAGTTGTGGACTCCATCACATGGGGGCCAACAAAGTGCAGGAATAAATCTAAGGATGATATTATGACATATAAAAAGCGGAAGTAAGCTTACTGGTTTTGCCATGGTGAAGACACAGTTGTACACTTTATAATTTATAGGTGCAGTCATGGGAGGCATCCCATTCATTAGCTTACAAAGGTCAGGAACCCCACAAGAGAGTCACTGAAAATGAGAACCCTAATTCTCATCCCATGTGAACTGGTATGGGTCGAAGTCACTGCTCCACAGAATAAATAAGTAATTTTTTAAAAATTTAAATTGATTTCAGATTAAATAGGGTACCATTCCTCTTTCAGAAGGGGGAAAATTGTTTAAGCATGCTTCTTCATGAGATTAAAGGACAGTAATAGAAATGTATTGGAAGGATATTTCTAGGCCCATAATTTGATTACTTTTTTTGGAGAGGTAACAGTTTTATTGAGAAATAATCCACATACTCTACAATTCATTCATTTAAATTATAGAAATCAAGTCTTTTAGTTCATTCACAAAATTATGCAACCATTATTACAATCAATTTTAGAACATTTCATCATCCCCTAACGAAATCCTATACCTTAAGCTGTTGTATTTCTATTTACTTTGCAAAATAATCTTATTCTCCTCATTTGCTCTTAATTTACCTCCTAGTTTTTGTTTGGGAGCCTTTTTATGGCCTTCGCTTGGGCTCTAGATTTGTTGGTTTAGGATGGGGGGAGGTTGAGGGGTGAGTGGAGGGGACTGTGTTAAGTGCCCTCACAAGATTACCTGGTAGATCACACCGAAAATGGTTTTCAACAGGACCCTGAGAGTCTAAATCAGGATCTCACAGCATTATTCCCCACAGGGCACCATGAAATGTATGTTCAGACATACTGATGAAAATAAGCTAACCACTGGATTAATGCAACATCTGTTTATGGCTCCTTTTTTTCCTCTTTTCAACCCCCTTTCCTCTTTCTCCTCCTATCTTTCTATCTTGTCTTATTTTGGTATATTCCTTTTTCTAGATTACCACCAGCCTTAATACAACAACAGCCTCTGTCCTCCAATTTTCCATTGGTAAGTGTTTTTAGCAATTATAGCAATTTAACTTGGAGGTGTTTGTTTTAATCATAGTGTGTCATCTGGATTATAGTGCCAAGTGCTTTTAGATTTAGAGAAGAATCCATCTTAACATTGCTGTAAATAATTTAAAACATTTTTAAAATGAAATTTAAAATCATAAATGCTGCATTCTGTTCTCACTTCTCTCCAGCAGGGAGCGGTATTTAAGAATGGTACAGAGAACCCAAAACATTTTAAAGTGATTTACATACGGATTTCGAACGATTGGGATTGGACTGTTAGAGCAGAATTACCTGACTGGTTGTGTTTTGCTCAGATTAAGAAGACTGAAAATCTGTTGAATTTCCTGCACCTTGACTGGCTGGTAGTGAAAGAGATAATTATTGTTGCCTGAGAGAAACCAGTTAGGGCTTCGTGTTTGGCACAAATAATCCATGTTTAATTCAGGCATGGATAATTTTAAAAATGTATCTGGCCATATTTCTTTTAAGTGCTTTTTATAGTAGAGCTCAAAATTCCTACGCAAAGCATTCAGTAAAATAAAGTACCCCTGGATCAAGTGTGTACAGCTTTGCTGTCTGTATTACCTTCCGTTCTCATCTCCAAAGGCATATATTAATAAATAACACGGACAAGGTTCCAGTAGGAATGTTCTAGGTAAAGAAAGATACAGCCTTCTGGATGGGGGCTCGTCTTCTTGATCTGGGTCCTGTAAGGGAAACCGCCTCCCAGCCTCTGTGACATGAAGATGCGGCAGCTGTGCCTCGGGAGCGGGCACGGACAGCTTCCTTCATTCCCCAGGCCCGTCCCCTACCCCCCCACCCCACTGTCTTCACCCGCTTTTCTTTGGAGAACCACCATTAGCAAAAGGACTGTCTCCCGCAGTAGCCCCCCAGTCCTGATCACAGAGCGGCGTTCTCCCAGCCGGGAGCTCTCTGTGGTTGATTGCGCCCGAGCGCAGCTTTCTTCAAGCCATGATGCTGTCACCTTCTCCTCTGCGTGCCTCACGGAAGCTTCCCTAGGCCTTACTGTGAGACTGCCTGTTACAGTTTGGGTTGTTTTCTTCTCACATCGAAAGCAGGACTACAACAATTTACAGACTGTTCCGAAGTCCATATGTGGTCATAAGGAAAGTGTTAGCTAAAACAAAATAATGAGTCTTTTTTTTTTTTTTTTAAGATTTATTTATTT